TTACTTCAAGTCTCTTCTTCGTTTGTGAGCAGATTGTCTAGCATTCACTGCCATATAGGAGGACAGACATTACATAGAAGTTCAGCACTGTTTTCTTTGTTTCTAACAAATTTTCCTGTTTCTTCATATTTTGTTTGGTTTTTGGAAGGTATCTTTTGCTATTGCAAGGCGCATTCTGATATCAGTGTCACATTGCCCGTTATCTGATAAAACAATTCTCAGATCTGTCTATATTTATAATATGAGGTACTGTAACTATTTACATTGTTCGCACTGTTGTCCTCATCTGTATTGTTATATTCACGACGTTTCGGTCGTTGTACGCTTCGGCCTTCTTCAGGTGATATAAGTTGGAATCCATGATTAAGGACTGTGTGAAAATCATCCCAAGCAGATGTGGCAAGAAATATAAAGGAGAAACAGGCCGCCCCCTTAAGATAAGACTGCTGAAACACCGTAAATCCGTAGCACGAGGGAAAATAGAAACATCAGGTGTGGCTGACCATATATGGAAGGAAAAGGGGGATAACTTCCGCTGTAGGATCAGGATGAAAATACGAAAACTTAAGGAATCAGCGCATATGCTAGGCTACAAAAATCTCCTAAGTATAGACATGAATACAATATGGGAACCAGTAATACAGAGTGCTAGAAAAAAACAACAAAAACAGAAAATTGTAATATGAGCTGTGGTAAAAAAAGGTAACTGAGACATTAGATATATAAATCCTAAAAATTCATACATGGTCCATTGGATAAAAGCGTTGATTGAAGTAATCCAGTCACTTGACCCAGAGAGTTTTGAGTTCAATACCAGGCCACAGCAGAGGTGAGCAAAAACAGAGAGTTGAGTTACTAAAGGGAAATAACTGAGACAGACAGAAAAGGACAAAATAAAGGGTTCGGTTCGAAATTCCAACGTATAACATTTTAAGAAGACCGGAGCGTACAACGGCCAAAACGTAGTGAATACGACAATAAAGATGAGGACAGCAGTTCGAACAATGTAAACAGTATAAATAGCCATAATAGTGTAAACAGACTTAATTTACACTTTTAAATTACGGATTCCAACGTATATCACCAGAAGAAGGCCGGGTCTAACAACAGCCGAAACGTCGTGAATATAACAATAAAGATGTGGACAACAGTTCGAACATTGTAAATAGTGTAAATACTCAGATGTTTTGTACTTTCTTGATCGTATCTTGAACTGTTTCTCTGGTTGGTAACCATAAATTTTGTCTACAATTTTCTTACGTCGTCTGCCATCAACACGGTGTCATCTGCATATCTTATGTTGTTAAGGCTGTGTCCGTCGACAATAAATCCTGGTAGGACTTCTAGTTCTCTTCGGATCACCTCACTGTAAATTTTGAATAAATGTGGTGAGAAGACACATCAGTGTCTGACGCACTTTTCTATTTTTTCATCTATATGAAAGTAGAAGTAGACTGAAGTATTAAACACATATGCACTCATGCATGCATACACATACACACACAGCTGATTGTCTTTCCTTATTTATCTTAATTTTAGTAGTGTGTTAATAAATGTGTATTACTTGTTCAAACTTGATTTTCACGTAAGCACTAAGATCAGATCATTTTCTAGCCGCGTGCAAGTGATTTTTGCTACTAGTGTACGTTCTGGATTATTTTGATAATTGTTCTGTTTCGTGCCCTGTGTGATTTCAATTCTTCAGACTCCAATGCTACTTCATGAATTGCATCTACAACAGACACTTTTCTTTTTTACTCGCTTTATTTTATGACTAGCGGGGATACCCGGCGTTGCTCGGAAGATCTCGGAATAATAGTTTCATATAGACAATTTATTGATATTTTTCAGCCATCTTATGGAAAATAATTTTTTATTCAATCTTTAAAAAATAAACTTCATTTTTTTTTGGTTTGTTACAAAATAACTAAATTTAAGAAAATACCACACTACCAATAACACGCTCTGGGGAGTGCTAGGGTTAGGGTTAGGGATAGGGGGCTGAGCATCCCCATATCTTTATTTAAAAAGAGACATGATTTTTCGATTTAAATACGAACATAAATATTCTGTTAATGTTGTTTTCAAACAAATCAAACTTAGATAAAAAATTTATTAACCTTTTTTTCAAATTATTATCAATAAAAAAGTTAATAAACTTAAATTAAGATATACTTAAAAATATTTAGTTTAATCGTTTTTTCAAGCAAAAACTATAGCGAGTCTTACTTCATCAAAAACCATTATTTATTATTTATTTTGAAGGGGAATTTAGATTTTTTTAAAGTAAATAAAGTTTTACTTTTAGATATTAATTACTATTTTGAAAGAGAATTTAGATGCAGGATACATTGAGAATTTAGTTTTGAAAAGCGATTATATTTAAATTTGAAGTTGTATTTGTATTTAAAAAGAAAAAAAATGAAAAAATCTTTTGTTAAATAAAAATTAGGAGAGACAGACATGAGTTACGGTCAACATTAGTCGTGTTGAATATTTGTTTTACGAATTTAACTATAAGGCACTCTGTTGTTTTGGCTTTAATAAAACATAATTTAAAATTATTTACTTTTTTATGTTAGTTACAAACCAAAAAAACAATGAAGTTTATTTTTTAAAGATTGAATAAAAAAAGTTATTTTCCTTAAAATGGCCGAAAAATATTAATAAGTCAATAAAACACACACACACACAACTGCCGCTTAGGGTGATATTGAGTCTGTATATTTATTTTGTAGCAGGACACACACACACACACACACACACACACACACACACACACACACACACACACACACACACATATTACAATAAATAAATATTAAACTTTTTGTCAAATAATTGTATTTAATATTCTTCTTTTAAATTTTCTTTGTTATTCATATTCATTTTTTAAAGTTACGCTTTTATTTACTATAGATGTGAAAACAAATTCAAGAGAAAAGAAATTTTAAAAATACATACATGTATAGCATTTAGCACAATACAAAAGTAAAAACGAACGGTAATCCTAATCTGGAATAAGAATTATTATCGTTCGTTTTTACTTTTTAATTATAAGAATTTGTAAAGCATTTAATTTTAAAATATCTTCGTAAAAATACAAATCATACGATGATAATTTTTTTTACAAAAAGCTGACTTGGGTGATGAGTCTGTATACATATTTACTTTGTCATAACTATTGTAGTTTTTAGTTTTAGCCGGACCCCCCCCACACACTTACAGATAACTGCCCTTTATATATATATATAAATGGAAAGTAGTTGTAGAATCATTTCGATGGAGAAGCCAGTCAGAAAAGGAGACCGTTTGGCCCAAATCTCATCACCACATGTTGGTTTGCCTCACTAAGCAATCTGGATGCGATGAGATATCTTGAATATTGTTTGCTACCGTCTGTCTTCGCAACTTTTTGGTCTTAATGAGGTAAGAGGGCTTGGAAAATCTGATACTCACAAGAAAAATTGAAGGCAAGCGGAACAGAGGAAAACAACGCATTACATACTTAGTGAGCTTGAATGAATGGCGGAACAGGGTTTGGGAGAAATAACAAAAAGACAAAATTTATTAAGCGGTACAAAGAACAGGAAATTGTGGAGAGCCATGATCGCTTACGTCCTGAAGGGACACGACGCATGAAGAAGATCAAAAGTCTAAACAAAGACGATCCATTAGTGTCAGAATCCCATGTCCACGATATTCAATCGACCACCACAGTGTTCTGACCAGTGGTTTGCCATTTTGGGCCAGCCTACGTATTTCGTAATACAAGTTTTCTAAATAGTTCAAGGGAAGTTGTTTATTTTTTTTTTTATATGAAGCATTGTCATTATTATTATTATTGTCTTTCTCTTCCTTGTTTTCATTTAATATCACTGAGATGTAAATGGACTGATGTTTTTTGAATTTCTATCGAGTACCGTAGTCTTTGTTTTTAAACTTTGACTGGCTTTCCTTTCATTTGAATTTTCTTGTATGTTTACACTTTGTAGAAATAAGATATAATAAAGTGAAAGTGTCTAAATTTCTACCGTTAAGCATGGACTGGAGTTTAATAACTAGATTTATTACTTAATCATCAAATTAATGATCAATAATAAGACAAAATTAAAAAGGAAAAGTTAAGAAGAAACGTCGTGTTTATTAAACGTAATTCATTTTTATTCTTGTATGTGTTATGTCATCATTGCTTTAAATATATTTTCCCATCCTACAGTATTTTTCTCACTGAAACTATTTAAGGAAATGGTCAGGTTTTTCTTTGTCAATAGAGACCGAATTTAGTGTCTCATGACTGGCGCCGTGTAGTTTTATATTTGTCTTATATGGGATAGGTGATAGTTTTATATTTATTTACCTTATTTGGGATAGCTGATATACTTGGTTCCATTCAAGCAAACACCGTGACTTTAGTATTTCACAAACAGACCGTGTGAGTCATCACTACCTTCTACGTTCTTCTAGTTGCCCTCGGTTCATTTGCACGGAGTGGAAAGGGGGTGGGGGCACCGCGTGATCTGTTGGCCCCCCCCCGCCCCACACACACACACATTGTTTACAAATTTACGACACAAAAATGGGTTCTATCTATCTATCTATCTATCTATCTATCTATCTATTTGTAGATAAACCGTATCTATCTATCTATCAGAAATAAATCTATCTATCTATCTATAAATCTATCTATCTATCTATCTATCTATCTATCTATCTATCTATCTATCTATCTATCTATCTATCTATGGGAATAAATCTATCTATCTATCTATCTATCTATCTATCTATCTATCTATCTATCTATCTATCTATCTATCTATCTATCTATCTATCTATCTATCTATCTATCTATCTATCTATCTATCTATCCGGGAATAAACCGTATCTATCTATCTATCTATCTATCTATCTATCTATCTATCTATCTATCTATCTATCTATCTGGGAATAAACCCTATCTATCTATCTATCTATCTATCTATCTATCTATCTATCTATCTATGGGAATAAACCGTATCTATCTATCTATCTATCTATCTATCTATCTATCTATCTATCTATCTATCTATCTATCTATCTATCTATCCGAATAAACTATCGTATCTATCTATCTATCGGGAATAAACCGTATCTATCTATCTATCTATCTATCTATCTATCTATCTATCTATCTATCTATCTATCTATCTATCTGGGAATAAACCGTATCTATCTGGGAATAAACCATTATCTATCTATCTATCTATCTATCTATCTATCTATCTATCTATCTATCTATCTATCTATCTATCTGGGAATAAATCTATCTATCTATCTATCTATCTATCTATCTATCTATCTATCTATCTATCAAGGAATATCTATCTATCTATCTATCTATCTATCTATCTATCTATCTATCTATCTATCTATCTATTCAATCACCAAAGTTAAGCAACGTCAAGCCAGGTCAGTATCTAGACGTGTGGCTGTTAGGGAATACCAGGTGTTTTAAATTTGGATGTGCGGTTGGTGCAATGGATAACGGCTCGAAATTGGAAATCGGAGAGACGAGTTCTAATTCCAGCCGGGTTCGTTATATTTACTTAGGCTCAAATACTCGTGGTGAAATTATTAATCCATCTCTTCTCTCCCAGCTATGGGTTAATTAGTTGGACTTGTATCAGTAAATCGTCATTATCTAAAAATGTCTTACAGTTTAAAAATATTTTTGGCTTTAAAGAATCTGAAAAATGTTGATAAGGTGTAGAAAAGAAATCAATCCAAAGTTTAGTTTGTTCATATCTAAGTCTATTTATAGTTATCAATCTCAGACTGTTCATCTCTCTCTCTCTCTATTATTACTGTTCATACCTATCTCTCTATCAATCTCTCTCCCTTTCTATTATTACTGTTTATATCTATCTCTCTATCAATCTCTCTCTCTATTATCATTGTTCATATCTATCTCTCTATCAATCAATCTCTCTCTTATTACTGTTACTATCTCTCTCTCTCTATTATTACTGTTCATATCTATCTCTCTAACAATCTCTCTCTCTCTCTTTTATTACTGTTCATATATCTCCCTCTACCAATCTCTTTCCCTCTTTATAATTACTGTTCATATGTATCTCTCTATCAATCTATCTCTCTCTATTATTATTGTTCATCTCTCTCTCTCTCTCTCTCTATTATTACTGTTCATATCTATCTCTCTATCAATCTCTCTCTATTTCTCTTATTACTCTAAACGTTATTTTAGTATGTACACATGTTTGAATTGAGATTCCTGTTTTTTATTTTTATTTTAATAAAAACTAAATTAATGTCAACCTGTATTTTATTTTTCAATTTCTGTCGGGAGTACATTTTTCTTCATCCTGACATCGCATTTCACTGTTTAAGAAAAAACAATAAACAAACCAGTGATGTCAATTCATACACGTGCCCCCACTAAAAATAACATTTATGAATGGTATCTCCAAGATTCGCTACCTCCCCCCATAATATAAGCAAAATTTGATCATCAATATCTTTGTGTCTATATTTCTGAGGTGAGGTACTGAAGGATTAACACGGACCTGATATACGGAGAATATGGAGACAATTAGAATACTTCCACCAGAAGGTAGCACGAATATCGAACCATCTAACATTCCTACACCGATGCAGAGACCCACCCCTTTATAAATTGGCACCAAGACTTTTCGTCAATTCAAGGAGAGCCCGTCTGGTCGCAGAAAAAGCGGGAAAACGTCCTTGTCTGAGAAAGAATCCATAAAACAAAATCTGTAATCTGACATCTCCCAGACGTTCGATGCCTTCTTCAACAGAATTATCGGCGAAGAAGACCGAGAGAGGATCCAACATGAACTGGATAAATCATTCAATGCAGTCAAGTCCCGCCAATTAAAAAAAAAAAAAAAAATTAACAGATTGAAAGATCAGAAGTGATACACAAGGTCCATCACCCCCACCCCACCCGGCTAGTGAAGGCAGTAATCAGCATCAAACAACACCAGCTGAGTACCTCTGAGATGTCAGTACTAAACAAGTGTCTCAACTTCGCCACAACCACCAGGTGGATATCATACTTGGACATCATTGCTGGAATCGAAGAAATAGCCTTGAACGTCTCTCAGGCTCGTGCGGATGAGCTAAGATGGAAAGTGAGATTGAATACTAGAGAAAGGCAAGACGCCCAAATCAAACATCATGAAATTGTAGAGGCTGGCAATCAGAACCCTAGAGAGATATGGAAACATCATCATACTACCAGCTGACAGAGGCAATGCGATTGTAGTGACGGACGAATCGGAATATACCGACAAACTAGGAGACCTCATTAGAAATGGTAACTACAGCAAAGTAAAGAAAGATTCAACAATGAAAACAGAACGAAAACCTGTTTCAATCGAGAACAAGAATCACTTCCCACCTAAGAGATACAGACAGTTGTTGTCGTGTTACACCAAAGCTTCCTAACATATATTTCAGTTCTTCCCAACTCAAGATTCATTTTAAAAAGTTCTCAGGCCCACGTTGAGAATCACTAGTCTCTCCTCTGACCTTATTCGCATAGCTCACTGGTGAGAAGGACGTTCCACTCAGACAGTAGGTGATGAATTGTTTTCCGCCCTACAACACCTTTACCCACAACCAATACTAGCCTTTCGCTACTCTATCGCTATTTTCATGGCAGATGTTTCGGAAGAACTATATTTCTTGGATCCACAAGTCAAGACCTTCAAATATCGAGCCATATCCTGTTTGAGTAGATGTTTAAGTTAAATCCCGATTTTTAGTCAGTAAAAAGCTGAATAAAGGTGACCTTAAAGCACTTTTTTGTCTCTCTTGTCTTTATTATAATTGCTGATGCAAGTTACCCCTTGATTAGTAATTTGCGATATCTGTTAATTATGGAATAACAATGCTCTAAGATTGGTGAGGAACACTGTTTTTGAAGGGAAGATTTTACTATTAAAAACGAATATTAAGATTGGAAAAATAAATAACTAAAAGTTTAATCACTATGCTATTTGTTTAAAACCAATGTTGATCCCGGATTTTAAAAGATTTATTTTTAAATTTATTACTATTGCTTTACAATTTCACCGCACACCTATCAACATAAGACATAGGTATGTTGTGACACATCAGTAACTCACGCCATCTTGTTAGGTCACGTGTCTTTGGTATGTTGCGGTACATCACCATGTCGTATAAAAATTTGCGACAGATTAATTTTTTTTATTAAAGAAAGAGTGACAAATAGTAAAAAGAAAAAGTGAACATTGTTGTTTATTGACTCACTGGTAATATTCAGCGTGTATGCGTATAGACCCCATAAATCATCTAGAATTGAAACGATAGAAACGGTGTTATATCATTAAGTAATGATGGAAAACGCATTTATTTTACACGAAAAAAATATTTATTTCTCAATACTATCAATCTGCTTGTTAATGCACTTAATTCAATGGTGAACATTAAGTAAATCAAACATAATACAATGAAACTTTCAGATCAAACTTTAGCTGATAACTCGACCGTAAATATAATGATCCTGATTTAACATCAAGTCTGTAATGTGCTCTGATCAATGAGATGTAAAATCAGCGAGCAGACGTTCCGGAAATTTTGATTCTACCGAAAATATTTGGAAGTTTCGTTTTTACCATTATTGAATGTCTTTGCGTAATATAAGATACAGAAACAGTACTAATCTCTGTAATTATTTCTGACAATTGAAAGATATCGGTAATCGCCCTTCTATTAACTGGGATATTGTAGCAAGAGCTCAATCTTATAACGGAAAAGGAAAGAAATGTAATGTATGTCTATTCGTCTATGCTTTGAATATTGATGCCACATCTGGTTTGGTGCTTGTGTTATATATTTAGCGATTATTGATAAAATAAAAGAAAAATCTGCAATGTTATTGGCCTTGAACTGGCATCTCAGCTTCAGTCATTTTCCCACTGCCTTAACGTAGCTTTTCTGCGTCTTTTCTATAAATATTTCATAGTAATTGTTCTGATGAACTTTCAGCTTTGATATCTAGATTTTACAAACTCAAGCGATGTACTAGATTAGCAGTAAGGTGTCAGTATTTTAATGTTGAAATGGCTAGAACCGTAAGTTCTATATTAACAGTTTCTTCTCTCACATGTCTCGTTTATGGAAATCACTTCCGGCTTTTTGTTTTCCAGTCAACTTTGATCTTCAAAAATTTAACAGCAATATCACTTGTCATCTTCTGCCTCTTCGAAACCTGTTCTTTTATTGTCCTCTCGTTAATAACGATTTTCTCAGATTCTTTTACTCTCGATAACCACTTGCATCTTTGTCGCCTTGCTTTAAGGAAAATGAAGATTTAATTCTTGCCAAAATGCATATTTTCTTTCTTAATATATTAATTGAACAGGTCAAATATCAATTGAATTATTAAAAAAAAGAAGAGATTTCTAAAAAAACAGATGTATCCACTAAATATACATTTTATAATAATGAGAAGTATAGATTGTGTGTAACAAGTTTTTACGCCACCAGAAGAGCCCATTCCTTAAAGATTGGGGATTTTCCCATCTCTATGCAGTGGACTCTTCTAGTGAATATTCCAGAGTATTTTAAATCTAGAAATATTCTTTGAAACGAATTCTTAAGTTGATATTTGTAGATAAACAAGTTTAAATATATGGATAAAGCGGTGGTCAGGGCTTAAAGGGTTAAAAATAATTAGTCTCATTTAGTTTGATTGTTTTCATAACAAAGGATTCGAGGAGCAAGTGTTATGTGAATTTGGCTTTTAGTTTAATATTCAGAATGGAGTGAATATGAACAAAAATACGCAATATGAACAATTTTAATTATGAAAAGAGAGAAGAAAGGGTGGAAAGAATAGAATGAGAGAAATAATACTAATGGTGAAGGAAGGATTGATCTCTCTTTAATACAGTAGAATCCCTCATATCCGGAATCCCTCATATCCGGAGTGCCTAATATCCGGAGTGCCTAATATCCGGAGTGCCCCATATTCGGATATGCGCGATTCCGGACTTGAGTCTAATGTGTATATTTGAACTATTTGGGTAATACGAAACTGATTTGAAATTTTGTGTTGTTTGGATAATTTCTCATGCTTATTTCACCCTAATGGCTTGTATTGGTGCAAAAGATGATGGGAATAAGAGGAAAAGAACAACTTTGGAGTTATCGCAAAAAGTGGAAATTTTAAACACATTAGACGCTGGTGAAAGTTCATTCTATCTAATGGCTGAGTTCAAAATAGGAAAGTCAACATTGTAAATGTTAAACCAGATTTCAGTTCTTTTATTTTAATCTAAATATAACCCCCCAAATCCGAACCAATTCCTCATATCCGGAAGGCCATTCTTAGTCCGGTTGTCAGGGATTCTACTGTATTTGATTCGTTGAACAAGACTGAAAAAAGTACTTTGGTTTAGTTTTTTATTATATTTTCTTGCATGCGAACAAATGTTTTCTTTTTGGATTTAAAGAGTGCAAACCTTTTCAAAAAGTTTTTTGATTCCATGCACTTTCAGCTATACTATTAGTCATTTTCAAGGACTCCTGTTATAATAACACAATAATAAATGGTGTACAAATGCTGTTATAAATAGTATAAACGTTGCTGAAAGTAGATATGTTCTTAGTTTCCAAATACGGTCGGTATTTTCTTGTCGTGTCCATAATTGATTCTATTAACGATTGTTTTCTTGTTTTTTTTAAAACAATGGCTTCCTTCACTTTTAAACAACTTTTGCGGTGGGAGGGACGTATTGCATTCATGTTCTTGACGAATATTTGAGGTTGGTATAATTCCATGTTGATTTGACTTCATGTCTGTAATGTGCTCTGATTACTGAGATGTAAAGTTAATGAGTATAAGCCCGGTAACGATGTTAAATTTTATTTTAGTTCTACCGAAAATACTTGGAAATTTCGTTTTTACCATTATCGAATGTCTTTGGGTAATATAAGATACAGAAACAGTATTAATCTCTCAGTAAAAAATGATTGTCTTAAAACACTTAAATAATCCGGGCTTGTTAAACAAAAGAAATGTATTGATGGTTACATGTAGGCATAAAAATAAATATCAGCTTAAATACGTTGATCCCGATCAAATTTAGTGTAAATCACGGTTTAATGTTTAGTGTTTAAGTTACGGTTTATTTTTAATATAATTTATTGTTAATATAAATTATTATTTATTTTTAATATAAATTGGTGTTTTTTTTCTTTCTTGGCCCGTTTTTTTTTTTTTTTTTTTTTTTTAATCCCTCTTTAATGAATAAATGATGATTCACAACTCAAAAATAATGAAAAAAATAAATTAATAACAAATCTTTTAAATGCATATCCCGGTTATTTTAATTGCCAAATATAATTGTTAAGAAATATAATCTTAAAAAACTATAATCCCAGTATGATATAATATTTAACTACGCCAGATATTTTTAAATTCATATTTGTGTAACGCTCAGTCCGTACTCAGCATCTTCGAGAATATTTTGCTCGTCATTGCTGAACGGCGAGGTACGCATTATTTTACGTTGATCTGAAGCAAACTATCGTAGCTCTTCCTTAGACAGGATATTTTATTTCATTAAATTGCTATATGTTCAATGCACCATTTACCACGACAGATTCATGTAGAGAGGGGAATAATAATAACCTGTGTTTAGGCATGCGAATCTATTATTCGTCGCTTACATTAAATCTATTGCTCTTTCCATCATTTCAGCGTTATATAAACGGTGATTGTCCTATATTCATTGATTATATAACTCTGTTATTTCGGTGTTATATGAATCGATGATTTTACTATATTCATCGATTATGTAACTCTGTCATTTCAGCGTCATATATTCGATGATTATAATATATTCATCGATTATCTAAATCTGTCATTTCAGCGTCATATATTCGATGATTATATTATATTCATCGATTATCTAAATCTGTCATTTCAGCGTCAGATGATTATATTATATTCATCGATTATGTAACGCTGTCATTTCAGTGTCATATATTCGATGATTATATTATATTAATCGATTATGTAACGCTGTCATTTCAGTGTCATATATTCGATGATTATATTATATTCATCGATTATGTAACTCTGTCATTTCAGTGTCATATATTCGATGATTATATTATATTCATCGATTATGTAACTCTGTCATTTCAGTGTCATATATTCGATGATTATATTATATTCATCGATTATGTAACTCTGTCATTTCAGTGTCATATATTCGATGGTTATAATATACTCATCGATTATGTAACTGTGACATTTCAGCGTCATATATTCGATGATTTTAATATATTCATCGATTATAAAACCTCTTGCTATTTCATTCCGCTAATTTTTTCGTCTTTTTTTGCAGGTTTTTGTCACCGTCCCTCGAATTCGCAATGGCGTTCCTTCATCGCTTAACGTTCTCGAAGTGCAGCCAAATAAAACTTTACTGAAGCCATACCCTAGTCTGGAGAAGAACATTGAAGGTGCGGATAAATGCGATAACTTTCAATTCGTATCGAACATTGCGATCGATCGGCGTAATGGGTGGATGTGGATTGTTGATACAGGACGCGTCAACATACTGCCCTTTGACGGCACTAGCCCGATCAACATGTGCCCGGCTAAGATTGTGATTTACGACACGCAAAACAATAAGCAAGTACGTGGCCACTTTTTCTCGGAGAAGGTCGTCAGCAAAACGTCTAATTATTTGAGTGATATCGTCATCGATGGGAAGATGGCGTACATATCTGACACGTTCGATAATAAATTAATTGTTTATAATTACGACACCGACACGTCCTTCAGCATTAAAGATTCCACCATGTTGCCGGATTCCACCATGACCAGCTTCGAAGTCGGTGGCATTCAACTGGACTGGAAACGAGGCATTAACAGCATCGCAATTTCGACAGACTTCAAAACTCTTTATTATTCACCATTATCCAGTTTAAATCTGTACAGCGTCCCAACCTCAGTTATTAATCAAAATATCACGGCCTTCAAGAGTAGCGTTAATTATATGGGCAACCTGACGTCCGTTACAGACGCCATGATCTGCAGCCCAAACCATCTATATGTGTCACTAATAAGCAAGAACGCCATTTATTATTGGGATATTAACAAAGGCAGTAAATTAGCAAGCGGTGAAAAGACCGAAAAAATGGAAACCTTTAAGATGCTGGCGCAAAATTCGAAATTAATGCAATGGCCGGACAGTATGACCATCGACGGCCATTACTTATGGTTTATAACCAACAGGAAGCAGAAGTTTTTCACGCTGATGGATTTCACTGGAGGAGAGGGGGTTAATTTCCGAATCTTAAAAACTTACATCCATGGACACTCTGTGAAGAATACATTTTGTCTAATCACTTTGTTGGTCTCTCTTTTTGTAACCGTTTTCGTTCGGCTCCACTGAGACCAACAATTAAATCTGAAACGGCTTTTTAAAAATTTCTTTTTGATTATTTACTTTTGTTCGTATTTGCGCATTAAGTGAGCATAGATTTAATAGAGTCCATTTTCGACGCATATGTTGTTTACATGAGGTTAATTTGGTAAGAATAACTCAAAAGTACTTTATATTTGTTATTGTTAGAAAAACATAAATGTTAGGAAAAATCTCTCTGAATATCGGAAAATTACAAATAATTTATACGCAATTGATTTTATGTTAGAGTATTTAAAAATTAAAATTATCAAATTAAAATCAAAATATTTTGATTTTCTTATTTGCTTTAATCAAACATTTTTTATAGTTCAATACAATTACCTATGTATTTAATTAAAAATCATCACATTGATCTATTGATAAATCTAGTCGGTTCTGCTTCTATAGATTCATAGATTGATATTTTAAAAGAGTCTATTAGTTTGGTGCAAACGTTTTTAGTTAAAATTGGTTAATTAACAATAATTTGTTTACATATTTATTAATCACCAAATATTTTCTTGACTTTTTATCATGTCAACGTTCCGGAAGATTTTGTTTTCCATCTTGATAAAACAATCTTGAATCCGATGCAATAAATTTGTCAATGGCATCGAAGATATCTTTGATTTCTTCTATTTTTTGACCAGATAAACAATGTTATATCGATTAAAACATATGGTAGCCTGATAGCCCCATGTCTTGGAAATATGTCACATGAAGATAATTTTCCATCTCAGCACTATTACGTTTTTGGTCAACGTGTCCACGAGCATTGTCAAATGTTTGTTAGACGTTTTAGATGTCCTTCCATTGTAACACTCAAATATCGAATGGGATAATAAATGAATTTTTTGGCAATAATAGTTCCTTTAGGCGTCAGACAATACTCCTTTCATATCCCTCTAAATGGAGAGCAATAACATTATCAACAAAGCAACGGGTGGACGTGCGTTGTCATGCATTAGAATGAATATTCATTTTCATTGTACGATAAATAACCATTTCTTATCAAAGGTGTTAAGTGCAATGTTTAGTAGTAACAGTTTCACCAGACTTCATCAATTTGCAAGAAAATACGGCTTTCATATCACAGCAAATACAGAATAATACATTAACCCCACCCCCCCAAAAAAGAATTCTTCGGTTTTGCTGCTAATGCCGATTGTTCCGAATTCACCTATGATTTTCGACGCTTACAATTATCGTCTTGAACTAAACATGTTTTACAAAAAAGAATCGAAATATAAGTTATGAGACTCTGTCCAAACATTTCCATCTGATAATTCAAGCGAAATCTATTGTTCTACTTTTTGAACTTTTCCCATAATTTGCAAAAGTCTTAACCGTATAACCACAACCAGTTTTTCAACTAATTCAAACATTGATTGCGGGGGTTTCGTTACACAAAATAGCTTTCAACTATAATTTCCAAATTCTTGTGGTTTACTGTTTGCCCTCTAAATCAATTTTGCTCGTTTTAAACTTTACAAAATATTCACGACTCACTTGCTACCAATCGAATAACGTCCGTAAGCTTTATCACAATCTTCACTTCTAATGTGGCATTGTCCAACTTGAAAACGATCAAAATCTAGAGTCGCAGGTATATTTTGTCAGCCACCATTTTAGATAATAAACACAGAATACAGACGACTCGTAACCGGTTTTTCAATTTTGTAGTCAGTCACTAGAAAAGTCAGTCACTAGTTTAAAGAAATGGTCGCTGGGAATATTTGTACAGACGCGTACGAGAAGATATCAAATAATTTACCTTTAGAATTTATTAAATATAAAATATGGTTTATAAAATAAATAAGATATAAAATTTAATTTTAAAACTATAATTTACTTTGCATGACAAATCAAGTTATTAAAATACATGTAAATACATATAAAATAAATAAGATTAATATTAGGAGATTTCTAAATTTTATTATTACAATAATTTAAGCATAAAATTAAACTTATTGTAATGACAAAAGTAAACAAGTAAAAAAGCTTTATTCAACTGAGAATACAAAGTTCGCGTATAGTGTGCTTTTATAGTCCCAGTAAACGGAAATAGCACTGTCAAAGAGGAATATAACAAAACAAGGGGAGACCACTCTTGATTATTCATAACACTTATTTCCCACTAAAAGCAAAACTTGATAGAATTCGTTCAGTTATACTTTTCGGGACAAATTATTTGCTGAGAGTTTATTTACTGTATCTGATGTCAGAATCAAAGTGTGGTTGGTAAAACGAAATTTCCAGATAACAAGATAAATGTTTTTATATTTATTTTTTTAAAAACATGTCATAATTTGCTTTTACCTCGTTAATACCAACATTTAATAATACGGAACTATCAAAGAAATCCTTTGAAACTATTTCTAGTGATCCTATCTTCAGTTAGGAAAAACAACCACTCGACTGTAGGAAGACTAAGAAAAACCTTCCTTCGTAATATTAAACGTTTTTCTTCTTTTTTAAGATGAATTCACTGAACGCAATATTTACTTGTGAAAAAATTCCAACCTTGAAATGGTCAGTCTTATATGACTAGCATAAAATTCATCTGACATAGGTTAGCAAACTCCTTTTGCTAGAATAACAAATTCGATTCACACTGATTAAGACACTAGTGCAGCAGGACGCTTGACTAAAAGTAAGCCAAACAAAATATAAGTATATAGAGTTTGTGTTGTTGAACAACGCTAGCGTGGTGATTTTCATTTGTACCCGTAGCCGCTCTCTTAAGACAAAGGTAAAAGTTAACATGGTCTTATAATGTTAATAAGACTAAATATAGCCACAAATTTATTGAGATTTATCTGCCTAATGTCTTATTTTCTAGAAGACACTAAACAAATGTAAACAACGTATGCTTGCTTAAATAGATGTTTACGAATTTCTTATCTAAATTCAACTCTTTTCTCTGTCATAAAATTTCAAGTACAGGAAAAAGTAAATGAAATAAATATATCATTAGGTATTTTACATTTAACGTTTTACACCTATGTAACACTGTAATATTAAAATACTTATTACAATAATAATATTAATATGGCCTCCATCATTAGCACGCTACAGAATAAAAGTGAATTTTAAGATATTTCAGATTTTGTGTTCATTTGTCACATTAACAAACATTCCCAATAATTTTAGGTTTCCAATATATATACAGGGTACGATGGATAAATTGTCAATATTTTATATTTTTAATTTCGTAAATGCGTGCTGTTTTTGATTTTGTCGACTGTACAGTATTGTAGGGTCAGTTGTGTATTGTCTGTGAGAAAAAGAGCACGATGACGAAATTGACTCCGCCAGAAATTTGGAAACGGCATGCTGTACTGCTTGGCATTCGCACCGGAAGCTCCAATACGAACATTTCAGAGTGTTTGGGGACAGTGTAGAGGATTCGAAAAGAGCTGGATGAATCTAATGGTGATTATGAAGGTGTGACATTGAGGAGATCATTAATGAAAATAAAAAATAAAGTTGGACCAAGTACAGAGCCCTGGGGTATACCTGCATTAGTACGAACGGATTCAGAATGATTTTCATTTCACGATTTGGCAATTTAGACTAGATCAGTTCAAAAATTTGTCCGGAGACACCGTAACTATTCAATTTGTGAAGACCTGTATGCTAAACCCTGCCGAAAGCTTTCGAGATGTTTAAAGCTGCAGCCCCGGGCTTCATCTTTCTTATGTATATCTTGATAGACTCTTTCCGCAATTATCGTCATTACATCAGCAATTGACCCGGAGAAACGAAAACCGTACTGCTTACCTGAAAAAAAAGGCCCTGCTATGTGAAGTGCTTAATCAATTCAGCATTGATTAGGGCTTACAGTAGTTTCTCAAAAAGAGATAGAAAGCTAATAAGCTGATAGTTGGAAGGGTTGGATGATTCACCTGAGTTCTTATAAACAACAGATGACGATTTCCAACGGGCTGATAAACACGTGGCAGCCAGTTATTATACAGTTTAGAGAGAACAGGAACCAGTTCGGGAGGATGCTTCTTAAGGACTAT